GCTGCGGCCTGGAATTCCTGAGATTGTAAAGCGGCCGAAGTAAAGGTGAAAAACAGAACAGAAAAACGGGGGGGGGAGGGATCTGTACCACCACAGATCCATAAAATATAAAAAAGAATTGTGAGAAAGCAGATGTAGGTGCTTTTTTGTCTTAAGTTTTGCCTTTAGTAGACTTTTAATTCCTGTCTGCAGTTTGTGTCCTTGGAGCCTATGTGTTCATCAGACTGAATCAATGGGAATGTGTGAAATTTTCATGAAAAACTTACCTGTTTTTCCCTGCTGTTCTCTTGCAGTCAATTAAGAAGTGGAAAGAAAAGCAGCAGGAAGAAAAAAAACGAAACTTGAAGGAGAAAGAGAAATCGGAAAAAATGCTGAAGGAAGAATGGCTACAGCGTGAAGCAGCTCAGAAGCAAAAAGCAGAAGAAGAAAGAAAAAGACAACAAGCAGCAATTGAAGCATGGAAGAAACAGAAGGCAATAGCATTTGCAATGGAACAAGCATCGCAACTTAAACTAGAAGATGAGAAGGAGAAAAAGCAACAAAAAGAACGCCAGCGCCAATGCCACATGAAGTTACTGTTGGAAAAGTATACCTTTCAGAAGAAAGAAAAGGAGGAACTTGAAAAACTTGAAAAGGAGAAGAGAGAGGAAGCTGAAAAGGAGGAAAGGAAGAGAATTGCTGCAGAAAAAATTCCTAAGTTTCAGGAGCGTGTGCGTAATTACATCTCCATTTATGCATGTTGTTTTAAATTCAGCTACTTCCTCCTGTAATATAATCTGTTCAACACTTTTAAAAATCCTTAATACCCAAATTTCATTAATTTAAGTCTATTTTTGATTCACAACGAATAACAGCATCTGTTACATACAGGAAACAGTATGAAACTTTATTTTAGACAAAGATGTTGCTTTTCCTCAATATATAAATTCTACAGGATTATTCAAGCCCATGTTTCTTTCTACGTATAGAAGTGGTTTAACTTACTTCAGTGTGAAAATGTTTGGGAAAAACAGCTTAGGCTGTGTTGGTCTCCATGCTATAGAAAATGTCAAAAGGTCTGATTGTTCTATGCAGGTATGAAATAAAAAAAGAGGTTGAAGATTCTGCAGGTTTCAGTAGCTGTAAGGTCAAGTTAGATCCCGTCTCAATCTAGATCTGATTACTGGGAACCGATGATATTGTCAGCATTCACACTAGCGTTCATTTTTATAAACAGAGATTAAACTACTACAATCCGGCTTGTTCCAGTACTGTGTAACTGTAATTTGTCTGTGCAGAACAAGCTGTAACAAGTAGCTACCCAGTGTAACTTCATTCTGTACTATGACAAAACAATTTAAAAAAAAAATTAACTGTGAAAAGGCTCCGTATATGTTTTGATACAATTTGGTTTACTTCCAAAGGAAAGTTTGCTTTTCTGTTGGTTACATGTTTCAGGATCTGCATAAACTGGAGCTAAGGATTGTACAAAAACAAGCTAAAGAAGCAGAGAAACAAGAAAAAGAAAAAAGGTTGGCAAAGTTAAGAGAGAAGGTAACTTCCCCCCCTTTTTTTTTTAATCTGAGGTGTGTGCAGTCTGGTTGTTGAAAAAACCTTTTTCCTCATTGCTCTGAGAAGCAATTATTTTTACTTACCTAAATGGTTGATAAAGGGGAAAAAATTAAATGAAAAGTCATGCTCATTATCAGGAGACAAAAATGCAGCAGGCACAGTTGTTCTAGTGTTTAAAAAAAAAAAAAAGAGGAAGAAAAAAAGGCAAGAGAATGCATTTATCTCCCAGCAGTATTCTGGGTAAAGCCTATAGCTCATACAAATGAGATGAAATATGGGTGGTGTTTTTTATTTCTTAAATGGTTTTCTACCATCAGTTCACTAAGTAGGCTGGCTTCTAGAAGAGTTTTGGGAATGCTGTCTGGGTTCTTAGAGTTTAACCTTTTAAATTATTAAAATTCAATGAGAGCAAGCCGTTGTTGCCCCTCTTACCGGTCTCATGTTTTTGACATTTCCTGTGATAGTGCAGAGGGAAAAGTCTCTTTCTGACTAGCCACCTATATTTTATTTATTCTGCACCTATTCATATGATGAAGACCTAATGAGTGTATGTAACTCACTCTGCGATCAACGAAAAAGACCAATGTTTTGTATGTTTGCTTCACTCTGAGGTTGAGATTCGCGTAACCAGAGACCGGTCCAGGCTGTACAGACCTACCAAGGGCTGGGAGGAACGCATGAAAGAGATCGCACCGACAGCTTCAGAACCACTTTTACGCGTTCCCCACAGGTAAGGAGAAGAACGATGGACACGTAGCTTGACAGAAGCACAGTCATCTATGAGTACTATTGACAGAGGTATTGTACTATTGTACTATTGACAGAAGTACAGTCATCTATGAGTACTATTGACAGAAGTATTGTACTATTGTACTATTGAGAGAAGTACAGTCATCTATGAGTACTATTGACAGAAGTATTGTACTATTGAGAGAAGAAGTACAGTATCTATACATCCTATGAAAAAGGCTTTTTTTCCTTGTTTTTAGAGCCATCCCAGCCTGGAGACAAGGCTTGTAGATGACGACCTGCCTGTCCCTGTCCGTAGGACGATGACTTCCGGGCCTGTGAAGCGGCCACCACCCCTCGGTCGTCGTCACAAAACTCGCTTGACGCAATGACCTGTATTGCCTTTGTATTTTTTAAGTGTCGGGCTTGAAACGCCATCCGTCGGACCGGCGGCCTGGCGTGACGCCACGTATTCCCCCCCCCACCCCTGCCCCGCGAGCGCCTTTGCCG